CTGGCTTAGGGGCTGAGGGCTGTTTTCAGGCTGGCGGGTGACTGAAGCTCCCAACCGCTCCTTTTTTTCTTTTTTTTCTTTTTTTATTCTGGGCCAGCTTTAGCTCTGAGGCCTTGGCTGCTGAAAACAGGTTTCTGGCCTTTGTTTACCGTCTGTATTTGATACAATGTTGCAGTCCGGTTGGCTGAAGCTCCACGGAGTAAAGCAGGTTTCTGGGGTTTTTTTAGCTTCTTTATTCGCAACATAGTTGCTTAGAGTTGCAGCTGAGACTTGCGGGGAACATTGGAGTTCTCGGTCACTGCAGCAAGCAAGCCTCCCTGTTCGCATCAGCTGCCTGGCTGCCAGCCGCCATCTTGGCTGCCAGTTAATTTGCATATCTTGGCCCTACTCTGTGAGTGACAGGGGGATTAGCCAATGGGAAGGGTAGCGGTCGTATGCCAATTACCATGTTTCTCTTTTATTAGTGTAGATTTTATTGATTTTTTTACAGAGGGGAAGGGAGAGGGATAGAGAGTTAAAAACATTGATAAGAGAGAAACATCCAATCAGCTGCCTCCTGCACACCCCCCACTGGGGATGTGTCTGCAACCAAGGTACATGCCCTTGACCGGAATTGAACCTGGGACCCTTTAGTCCGCAGGCCGAAGCTCTATCCACTGAGCCAAACCAGTTAGGGCTTGTCTTCCCTTTTGCCTCTCCTCTCTCTCTCTCTCTCTCTCTCTCTCTCTAATTTTTTTATCAGCAACGCTTCACGAATGTGTGTGTCATCCTTGGGCAGAGGCCTTGCTGATCTTCTCTGCAAAGTTCCAATTTTAGGGGTATATGTGCTGCCAGAGCGAGCACCTTTCCGCCCCTTTGAAAGTGCTTTCTCCTCGCCCCACAAGCCCTAACCTCCTCCTTCCCTGGCGGTGTGGGCTAACCACACACTAAGGTGCGAATGGCCCAAGGTTTACCCTCCTGAGAGCACTTGCATTTGTCCATGAAGAAGCAACATTCACCTCACGTGGGTGTCGGGCTTTATTAAGGCAGTGACATTGCCAGCAAGGCTGGGTTTGTGCTGGGCCTGCCGCTCACCACTGTGGCCATGAGTAGTTTTCCCTCATCTTTCTGAGACTCAGTTTGATTGTCTGTAAAAATGGGATTTAATGGCATCTCTTTAGCCATCCCCTAGTGCTGTAGTGAAGAGAAAGTGGATCCGTGTTCGCACAGAGCATGTGTTAGCTGTAAGGTTCTGGACCGAAAGAGGGTTTGATGTTGTCATAACTTTGGTCTGGGCCAGGCCTTCCCACACCCTTCAATCACACCTGAGTAGACGATGGCTGTGCGTAGAAACCACCTCCTTTCTCTTTTTTTAGGTAATTTTTTAAATTTTATTTTATATTTTTATTGATTTTAGAGAGAGGGAAGGAGAGGTGTGGAGAGATAGAAACACTGATGAGAGAGAATCATTGATCAGCTGCCTCTTACATGCCCCCTACTGGGATCGAGCCCACAACCCGATATGTGTCCTGAACGGGGAATCAAACCGTGACTCCTGGTTCCTGGTCTGACGCTCAACCATTGAGCCACACCTGCTGGGCAGAAGCCACCTCCCTATAATCTCCCAGCTGGCAGGTCCAGATGTGCTGAGGTCAGTCCCGGCCTTCCCGCCCTCCCCACAGCTGTCCCGGCATGCTTGGCGGGGCCATACCTCCTCCTCCCTCTCCATCTGGAGATTGGCTGCAACCTTTCAGGCCGAGAGCAGTGGGATCCCTCCCAGGGGCTCAGCTGGTCCAGCGGCCTCCTGACCAGTATCTCCCCTGGGAGAGCTCTGGGTGTGGTGGGGCAGGCACCATAGCCAAGTACCCGAGATTCCTCAGCCTCAATTACAGCCTGACATTTGGGTCGCACTGGAATCATTATCATTTCAGACGAGGAAACGGAGGCCCAGGACCTCACAGCCAGCAAGTGGCTGAGTCTCAGTCACTCGAGCCTAGGCCTCCTAAAAAAATAATAATAATAAATAAATTATATATATATTAGTATATACATGTGTCGAACCGTGACCTCCTGGTTCGTAGGTCGACACTCAACCAGTGAGCTACACCAGCTGTGCAAACCCAGGCCCCTCGATGCTGTGCATTGATCCACTCCAGGGCCAGCACACAGGCCGCTGCCTGGGCCAGGCAGGCTTCCTGCGTCCTCTCTCAGGCTGGGGCTGACCTCTGGGGACTGGGCCGCCTTGTTTCTGAGACTGAGGGAACAGCTCTGGAATAAGCAAGCTCATCGGAGGCCAAGATCTTCAGTCCCCCTCAGCCTGCATGGCCCTGCAGGGTCTGCCTTGGACTCCTGTGAGCGGTTCTTCAGCACTCGGGCGGGGCCTGGACCCAGGAAGCAGGAGTAGCCAGAACTGCCTTGGGTTAGTCCCACTAGGTTTTAGGCGACATGCTCAAGTCCTTCGAATGCCCTCTCTCCTGCCCCCTAAACCCGCGATGCCCGTCATTGGCTTTCCTACTGGCAGATGAGGAGGCTGGTGTGAGAGCAGCTGGAGCCTTGTCTAAGGCAAGGGCAGCGCTGGGATCTGAGCCCAGGTCTGCGGGCCCCAAAGCCCATGCTCTAACAGTGGGGTCTGGAATTCACTCGGGGGCCCCACCACACCGGGAAATGAAGCCATGAGGATCCCTGCAGCTGCCCCAGCCACTGCGCCTCTCCTCTCCCACCTTGTGATCCGGGTCTGTTCTCCTCCCCTCCATCCCTCCTCTCCTGGGATCCCCGGAATAACCTGCAAGCAGGGGAAGTCACGCCCTCGGCCGGTGCTGCGCTGACTGTGTGTTTGCTCAGCCTGCACCTGCCACAGCCCCACGGGTTCCACACGGCTGGCGGAAGCGCAAGTTCTGCGTGGGCCCCGGAAGCGTGCGGCTCTAGCCAGCCACCTGCCCAGGTGCTGCTGGAACAGGAAACACCAAGCCCGGGCAGCCCCGCCCCGGGCAGGCCAAGGCAGCAGGATGTGCAGGCCTAACTGAGCCCTCCGAGCCCCCAGGTGTGGGGCCAGGACCAGCACACAGATGCTCGGGGGAGGAGCCTGCCTGTGGGTCCTGCGGCTGAGGGAGATGGTCTCCCCAGAGGAGGCCACCCTGCGAACCTCTGGCAGGAGAGGGTGGCAGGTCCAGAATGGGGGCCGCTCACCCCCTCTTTACAGAGGGTGGAGGCTTTGACCAAACAAGGAAGCATCAGTGATCATCAGAGGAGCAAAACCCAGCTCCCAGTTGGGGCGGGGCTTTCCTGGGCACCCCGTTATCCCAAAGAGGCAAAGGGTCCCAGTGGTCCTTTCTGCAGGTGACCAGAGCTGGGGCTGATCCCCCCTCTTCCTGAACTCCTGGGCCTGCAGCCTCAGGACGGGCTGAGAACGCAGCCTGCCCCCTCTGCCCGCCCCCTCCCTTTCAGGGTGGACTGTGGCTGCAGTGACATTAAGAGCCAGCACAGAGAAGGCACCTGACCTTGGGGAGGAATGTGGAAAATGTCTGCAGTTTGGAACGGAAAACCCCCACCTAGGGCCTAGGAATGTGGGCTCCCAGCCAGGAAGCCTCCCTTCCAGTCCCCCCCAGGGAGATGTGCATGTGCTTGGAAGGGAAGCCAGTGGAGCAGGGTCCAGGAATGACACTGTTGTAGGCCCTGTGAGGTCACCTGGTGAAACTCCTGCCCTGGCCGGTGGCTTAGTGGTTAGAGATTGGCCTACGCACCTGATCGATAGTATGTACCTGGGGTGCAGGTTTGATCCCTAGCCCTGGTCAGGGGGAGTGCAGGAGACAACCAGTGGATACGACTCTCTCACATTGTTTCTTGCTCTCCCTCCATCCCTTTCTCTCTGAAAAAGGAACGGAAAAAATATCCTCCAGTGGGATTAGCAACAACAAAAATGTTGCCCTGCTCATGGTACCAGCATAGTGCCCTTTCTGGGCTCGTTAGGGCCTGGCCCTGCTCCTGGAGTCCCCTCATGGAGGCAGCTAAACTTTTGACTTCTCAGACCTACAGAACCACAGAATGTCAGAGCCCTTTGAAATTAGCAGCTACTGCACCCGTCCCGTATTACAGATATGGAAACAGATGCCCTGGGAGGGGGCGGGAAGGATGGGAGTTGGCCACAGGTACACTCACTACGGGCCAGGACTTCGGGGTAGGTGCTCTCTCCACCCTCTTGCTTCTAAAATGCTGGCAGCCAGCATCTTCCTCCTTTTAGGGAGACTCAAGCTCCCACAGTGTTCTTGCCAGGAACCCGGTGCCTTCTGCGGGTGCCCTTAACGGCCAGGAGTGGGAGACGCAGCCAGAGGGACTGGCCTCTGTGCTAAGGCCCTGCTCCAGCTCTGGACAGAGCAGATAAGGCCACACTAAGGCCAACAGAGGCCCCTAGGGACTGAACCTAAGAATTAAGGAGTATGCTGCCCTCTCCTGGCCACCTCTGGGCAGGACTGCTGTTGTCCAGGCCTCTGGCTGGTGATCTCCGAGCTAAGAAAATTTCCTTCCCCTTCTGTTGGACAGCACTCCAGGAGGGCAGGAGGAGGTAGGTGCCCTCTCTCGTAGGCTGAGCAAAGTAGCTGGTCCCTTGTTCAATGTAGGACCTAGAGGAAGAAGACTTGAGGCCAACAGGTGAGGCCGGTGTGTGTTACCCACCACAATGCTGGAGAGCGGGGAGACTCCCGGTTTCCACGGAGACAGCCTAATCAATCAACACAAGACAGGAAGGCTGAAAATTTAGAGGCTATTTATTTCTCCTACGGTCCACAGCTGGCAGCCACTGCCCTCCCGTTCTAGGGGATTTCTCTCTCCTTTTCTGAGAAATCTCCTCTCTTCCTGGAAGTGCTCACAGAGAGGCTGGGATGTGAAGAGAAACCATACACAACACTCCAGAGCCTTAAAAAAATAAAGCCACAAACAACCTCCTCCACACAAGTACACACACACAAAATAAATAGACACATAAAAGAGAAGCTTCGCTCCTCCTGTCCTGGCTCGAAAGGCTGCTTGGGAGAGGGGCTGGGTGGCGATGCCCGCTTCCCCCGGCCAGGATGATCCAGAGGCTAAATGGTATGGAAGTGCCTGACAGCCAAGAATAAGCCCTGGCTTCAGCTCTGTAGGCATCAGGGACAGATGAACAAATAAATAAATAAATAGAGCCCAGCGCGCCCCCGGGGGCCTAAGGGCTTAGGCTGAGGCTCAGGGCCCCTGGGGCCTGTTTCCCTGAAAAAGCAGATCCAGTGACAGGCAGAAAGAAGAACAGGGAAAACTCCAGTCCAAAGTCACACCCACCAGGCCTCCAGGGCCTGCATCCTCCAGCTCCCAAAAGGGCCAGCCCAGAGCCCAGCCTCAAACCAGCTCTGGAGGACGGAGGGGTGGGCCGAACCTTCTCTCTGGCCCAGCCCAGCAGGTGCCCAAGGCTGGGAAGGCCCTCCCTCTCTCTCAGGCCAGCAAAGCCTCAGAGGGAGCAGCGATGGCCACCAGGTGGGCTCCTGGGGAAGCTGAGGCACGGCCCTCTCCTGCTCCTATGTTCACGGGCCTTCCTGCCTGGCTGCATCCCAGTCAGCTGGGAGACATCCTTGTGCAAATGTAAGCAATCGAAACAGTCCCTGCCGGTGTCCTCCTCCGCTCCATCTGACACAGATGCCCCCACCCCCTCCAGCCAGGGCTGCTCTGGAGGTCCCCCTCTAGCCAACAGGGAGAAGGTGACAGACAGAAGCAAGAACAGAGAAGGGGCAGGAGCTGCTGGAATGAACAGTTTGGTCAGGAGGCCAAACCAGACACATGAAAAAGTCCAAGGGCGTGGGGAGTCCCAAGATCCCTCCTGGAGAGCCAGGGCCAGATGGGGGCCAGGGGAGCACGGGGTGGGGACCAGCCGGCCACTCAGCTGGGCAGCAGCACGTGCTCCAGGAGGTAGGTGAGGGAGTCCCAGTGCTTCCAGAGGAGGAAGAGCATGAGGACCAGGAGGGCAGTGCTGGTGATGCGCAGGCGCGTCTTCATGAGGGGCGTGATGAAGTTGGCGATGGTGGACACGAACACCAGCAGCACGGCCATGAGCGCCAGGATCACGTTGATGAACTTGCCCAGCAGCGCCCTTGCGTTGGCATTCTCCACGCCCTCCAGCTGCACCACCTGCTGCTGCTGCTGCTGCAGCTCCAGCTTGGTGACCCGGGTCAGGCAGGACTCCACAGCCTCCTGTGGGGACAGAGGGTAGGCCCATGAGAGAGGGACAGGTATAGGCTGAGCAGCTGCAGCTGTGGGCAGAGCCCTTTACTTATGACTTTCTGGGCAGGCTGGTAGCAAACTGGAGTCTTGATTAATGTGGGAAGGGGAGGAGCCGGCCCAATCCCAGCTTCCTCTGAGGCACTGGGAACGCCCATCATTCATGGGCCAGGCTGCCATCACAGAGCCGGGGGCACCGGCGGCCCTCGCCAGTCAGCTTGCCTTTGCACAGTGCATACTCTGCCCAGGCCGCTCCGCTCTGATCTCCACCTCACCCCACACTACCCGCTTCACCCATGTGTCCGTCTGTCCCAGCTGATGCAATAGACTATGCCCACCATCCCCCACTTGGTAAAGCCGCACCCTCTGGCTGCTGCCAGCTGTCAGCACACCTGGGGCCTCCTCAGAAGGGTCCCTGGTTGTACCTGGATGTCCCGAGCCCTCTCATAGGACTGGTAGGCCACCTTCTCCTCCATGCTGGCCAGCTCCTGCTTCAGGTTGCTCATCTCATTCTGGTGAAGCTCGGTCAGGTCATTGAGTTGCTCCTCCAGCCGCTCGTACCTGGCAGAGGGAGAATGTGTGACACCAGGCCTGGCTCTCGAGCCTCCCTTCTCTCCCCGGGATCAATTCCATTCATTCTCAACCGTCACTCAACCTGCCCCCTGTGTTCAGCGACACCAGTGAAAGGTACTACTTACACAGCACTTCTCAGGAGCAGGTGTTGTGCTAAGCACTTCACCCAGATTACCTCATAGGATCATCATCACCACCCACAAGCCAAGTACTAGTCACCCCCATTTTGCAGATAAAAAGACTGAGGCACAGAGGGGTTAAGGAATTTGCCCTGAGCTAAGATGCTCTCCTGGGTACCGGGCACACCGGGATATGGAGTCTCAATCCCTGCTCTGAAGGCACGGATATTGAAAGATGACTCTTAGGTGGAGGTGGTTAGTTGTCAGGCAGGATTCCAAACCTCCTTCATATAAACAAACAAGAAAAGGGCCAGGTGGCCAGGTGGTTAGAGCGCTCCCAGTACAACGTTGCTGATTTGATCCCAGTTGGGCGCATACAAGAATCAACCCATTACTGCATCAGTGAGTGGAAGAACAAATCGATGTCTCTCTCTCTTCCTCTCTCTCTCAAAACAATAAATATTTTTTTAAATATATTTTTATTGATTTCAGAGAGGAAAGGAGAGGGAAAGATAGAAACATCAATGATGAGAGAGAATCATTGATCAGCTGCCTCCTGCACGCCCCCTACTGGGGATCAAGCTTGCAACCTGGGCATGTGCCCTTGACTGGAATCGAACCTGGGACCCTTCAGTCCACAGGCTGATGCTCTATCCACTGAGCCAAACCAGCTAGGGCTAAATAATTTTTTTAAAAAGAAGAAGTGCTGAGGATAAAATCCCCAAGAATCCCAGGGAGCGAGTGCCAATGCCACACGAGAGGCACAGAGCAGAAGAGCAGGTGGGCAGAGGGGAGGAGGGACCAGGGCTGCAGCTCAATGCACACTGACGTGCCGGAGACTGACACCCTTTAACTTCATAGGTTTGGTTTCATTTAATCCTCACAGACATTTTGAGTGGGGATTCACGTTCTTCCTGCACACAGCCAAGGGAACCAGGTGCTGAGTGCAGTAAGGGCTTTGTCAATAGTAAATAGTAAACAGTAAAGAGTAGAGCTGGGATTTGAACCCGGGTCACCTAACTCCAGAGTCAGTGCTCTTAACCAGAGGAGAGGCCATGTAGCTGGTCCCTGCCTCAGTTTCCCCTTCTGTATACCGAGCACATACAATCAAGTGGGGATGCTCACAGCTCCTGAGACAGGCAGAGCCTCCCTCCCATAGGCCTGTACTCCCGTCTCCCTGCCCAGACCGAGGAGGCTTCCAGCAGTGCAGGGCCCTGTGGATGCTCTTCCACTTGCTCCACAGCCCTGCGCCTGAGCCCTGGGCCTGAGCCCTGGGCCCGGCACCTCAGGCCAGGGGTGGCTGGGCGGAGGCGAGGGTGGAGGCGCACCCACCTGTAGCGCTCCTCCTGCAGGCACTGGGTCATGTAGGTGTAGTCCCTCTGCAGCTGAGACTTCAGGTCCTCCATTGAGTCCTCCAGGTGCGTCTGTCCCTCCTTGATCTCCCGCAGCTCATCCACCAGAGCATCCAGGTTTCCGGGCACCCCATACAGTGTGTTCGACTTGGGGCTCCCCAGCACCCCGGTGGGCCCGGCCCCGGAGTTGCTGCCAACCCCGGCTGAGCTGGCGCTGGCGCTGGAACACTCGTCGTCGCTGCCGTACTTGGGGCTGGACACGAGCGTGGCGCTGCCACTCAGCGTCCGGGCCGCCTCCTCGGGCGGCCCGTCCTCGAGGGGGTCCTTCAGGTGGGCGATGTTGTCGGCGCTGCCAAACTTGTTGCGGATCAGGCTGGCGAACTCCCGGGGCTTGGACACCACGGCAGTGTGGGTGGCCTGCGAGAGGCCCGAGAGGCTGCCCCTGACGCCCTCCACCCCCCCGCCCCCGAAGCCGCTGATGCCCGCGCGCACGTTGGCGCCCACGTCCTTCAGCCCCTGCTGCATGTCCCGCAGCACGTCCTTGGGCTGCCGCGAGGGCCCGTTCTGCTCGATCTCCCGCAGGCGCCGGCGGTAGTGCTCCAGCTTCTTGTGCAGCTGCGCGATGGTCTGGGCGGACTTCTGGTTCTTCTTCTCGAACACCTGCTTGATGCGCGACACCTGCTGCTTGTCCGCGTTGTTGGCCAGCTTGAGGTACTCCGCCACGTTGTCGTCCCGCGCCTCCTGCTCGATCTTGATCTGCTCCGTGATCTTCAGGATCTTCTGGTGCAGGTGCTCGATGGCGGCCTTGGTCCGATGAGGGTCGGGGGCCCCGTCCGGCACGTCCAGGCTGATGGGGCCGTCGGTGTCACCATGGCCGGGGCCGCTGGAGAGGCTCAGGCCCACGAGGTCCCCCTTGTCAACCTAGGGGAAGAGGCAAGCAGAGGAAGCCTGGGTCCACCAGGAAACCACGGGAGGGAGCCCCTGACACCTGCGGACCTGGCTTCTCTACCTACAAAGTGGAGGCAGGTGACGGGGAACCTCAGGAAGAGATTCAGCATGACAACAGAATCTCTTACGGCCGCCCTCACCCACCTGATCCCACAACGGCCATGAGTGCAGCCCAGGCAGAGGGGTGCCTCCTCGGGACAGAGTTCACATGACTATGAGCAGTCAGGCCTCCTGCCCACATGGACCACGCGGGCTGAGGCTTCACTGGAGCCACAGGGTTGAATTCTCAGGGATGAGACAAGCTGTCCCTCCGGACCCAACCTCCCCACCACCTCCTGCCTTGAGCGGCCTCTTGATCAGACCTGACCGGAGCCCACACTTTGGCCCCAGCGCTGGCACAGGAAGCTCCCCGCCCTCCCCACCCCAGCTTCTCTAATGCAGTTCAGCGGGTCACCCCACTTCTGCTGCACCCTCCCTGCCCATTACCTTCCAGGTCACTGGAATTGTCAGCAACCTCTTCCGCTTCATGATGGTGGGAGCACCCGACCCTGCCCAGGCTCCCAGAACTGGGAGGGGAGAGCCCCCTGCCACCCTGCTGGCCAGGTCCCCAAAGCCTCCGTCCCAGAAGTAACCCACAGGCCGAGGGAAGCAGGCAGCGGTCTGGGGCCCAGAGGTACCAGCTGCCCTGCTGGGAAGGGGCTGGATGTGCAGGAAAGAGATGACAGCCCTTCCTTGCCAGCAGGCAAGCAGGCCCCTGACCCTCAGTGAGTCAGGGTTAGCACGAAGGAAAGAGAGACTGATAAGGGGGTGGGGGGAGAGCAGGGAGGAAGGGAAGGTCACAGAGGACAGGAAAGATGGGAAACGCAGGTCAGATGAGGGCGGGTAGGCCTGGAGCCCTGTCCTCCAGGGCCGGCTCCCCCCAGCTGGTTGGAAGATCTCTCTCCACAACCGAGTCTCGGTGTCTTATCGCCACGCAACAGCGGAAGCAGCAGGAAATGGCTCAACCCCATGTATTTTTACACACCCCAACCCGGCTGGGTCACACCGCTTTTTATATGTCTGGGGGCAGGGGCGGGGTGAGGTCTATGTGGGGGAAGGGGTCAAACACAAAGCAAGTGGCCCAGTCACATGCTCCAGAACTGGAAACAGCCCATGCCAATTACAGGCAGAAGTCACTCACCTCGAGGTCCGCCGAGATACCAGCAGTGAAAACACGACTGCAAACAATGGCCCCGCCACCCTCAGGAGCCAGGGGAGGGCGGCTCCTCCTGGGCTTCCTCTGGGGCCTTTTCAGGTCGGGGTTCCCCTGGGAATGCTGGGGACACCGAGGTCCCTTCCCCACCTCTCCTGCAGTCAGGACCTCCCTCTTACATTCGCTTGGGTCTCCCCTGGCCCTCCTGCCACACGCTCATCCCGGCAGGACGCTGCTCCTCTGACTTGCTGGCCTGGTACAGCAGAGGAGCCTAGGCCACAGCCCCTCACAGGTCTGTCCCCAGGTCTAATGGCCCCACCAGTCTGACCTAAAACCGAGCCTGCAGTTAGACCCTTCCTCCTACGCTGCTCCCTGCAGTGACGGCCAACAGCCCATCTCAATTGTCCTGCCCCTCGGTGTCCCCACCGGTGACACAGATCTACTCTCAGGCCTGTGGTGAGGGTCACATAGGACCGGGCGTTGAGTGACCAGCACTGCTCTTCTGCAGGGCACACAGAAGGCACTCAAAATGCTGTGGGGTCTACGCAGCACCGTTCTTTAGGGGAGGAATGACATGTATTTAAGAGATTATACCAACAAGTTTACTCAGTGTTGATGCGGCGATATAGGAAGTGAACGATACAAAATTCTATCTGCAACGCGTAGCTTTACAATGAAGGAACCTGACCCTCTCATAAGGCCCCTGTGAGCTCCGCCCTCTTCCTGGAGAGAGAATTCCCAGAGAACGAGCTTGCATCTGGCTGCTGCCTGAGGCTCAGCACTGCCGTTTGCTCATCCTCATAACGAGGAGGGAGGGCGGCGGTCCCAGCGCCTTGAGGAGCGTGGGAGGCACTAATGAGACGCGGGTTCCGAGAAGCTGTGAAAGTGGAGGTGCTTCGGGACGGCGAGGGAGTGTACGCAGCTCTGCTCTGGCAGCCTGGAGTCCGGCCCCCGCTGGAGGCCAGCTAGCTTACACGTGGAGAGCAGAGTGGAAGCTGGCTGTGAAACCCCAGGAACGAGAGGAGAACAACACCGGTGAAACCAGCTGGAGTCTGATGGTGGGCTGCAGTGACCCGGGGCTGGGACCCTGGCCCCCTCGCCCACCCCCTTCTCTGCCCTGGGGTCCTGCAGCAGGACACCAGCCCCCTCGCGGCTCCCCCACTCCCCACTCACTGAGGTCTGCCATGCCTGGGTCCTGCGGGTCATCTCCAGTCACCGAACATCCCCTTCGCCCTCGTCACCATGGAGGAAGGGAGCACGCAGGAGTAAGGGGGGGCTCTCCACGCCCTGGCCTCCCCAGGCACCCGCTACAGCAGCAGGGTCCTTTAAGGACTGAAGGGAGAGGGGGTGGCTGAGCGAATGAGAGCCAAGGAGGTGGCAGAAGACAGGCAGAGGGACAAGGAGGGAGGGTGCTTCAACTAAGGAAGGAAAACGAGAGCACAGAAGGAGAAAGCTGTTAAGAGGGATGGAACAAGCAGAGAATGAGGAAAGGAGAAAGATTTGAAAAAAAAAAAAGCAAAAGCAATGAGACAGGCGACAGGACCCATGCTGGGAACAGAAAGGGCACTAAACGTGCGGTCAGACACCAGTTTAGAATCCCGGCTTTCACTTAGCAGCTGTGCACCCTTGGATCTGTCATTAACTTTTTCTGAGACTCAGTTTTCACATCTAGAAAAGGGGTGTAATTCTACCTACACCAAAGGGTTATCAGGAAGATGAAACAAGTCACTCTGAGTAAGTCAAGAGTGGCAGTACAACCTCAGGGCATACAGAAGGCGCTCAAAAACAAGTAAGAATAAATTAAGCAACATTTCACACCGACTGGAATGGCTGTAATTTTAAAAAGGAAAATAACAACTGTTGGCGAGGATGTGGAGAAATTAGAACCCTCATAGCTTGCTGGTGGGAACGTAAAATGGTGCAGCCACTGTGGGAAACAATTTAGTGGTTCCTCAAAGTTAAACATGGAATTACCAAATGAAATGACCTAGCAATTCCGCTCCTAGGTATATACCCAAAACAATTGAAAATGGGTATTCAAATAAATACTTGTGCATACTGTTCATCGCAGTACTATTCACAATAGCCAGAGAGTGGACACAACTCAAATGCCCATCAAATAGTAAATGGCAAACAAAATTGGTCAATCTATACAGTGGAATATTATGTTATTCGGCCACAAAAGGAATGAAGTACTGACACGTGCTACAACACTGCAAACCTCGAGAACATTACACTAAGTGAGAGAAACTAGATACAAAGGGTCACTATTAAATGATCCCATTTATATGAAACATCGAGAACAGTTAAATCCATAGAGACAGAGATAGAAGGCAGCTTAGTGGTGGCCAGGGCTGGGAGGGAGAAATGGGGAGTGGCTGCTTGATGGATACAGGCTTCCTTTGGGAGTGAGGACAATGTTCTGGAACTAGAGGTGATGGTTGCACACCTGGGTGTGGAAGGCCAGGGTCCTCCCACCTGCTAGCCTGGGCTGCAGGTCCAACCAATGTCCTATTGTGGAGGGTATGTGGGTCCTTCATCTTATAGCCCCATTTGCAGTAGAGCAGAGGTTGTTTCTAACTCCCTGCCAACCCCCTTCCTGGGGCTGGGTGAGTAAAAAGAAGAGCAATACTGGTCACTCAACTCCCAGACGCTAGCGGGTGGAACTCCAGGGTCCCCCGGCCCAGAGCACAAAGTGTGTCGGCTACAGAGGCATCACTGCTCCTCCCTCAACACTGTCACGGGCTCACCTAGCCCAGGGCCCTCCCCCCTCTCTCCGGCCTGAGAGGGGCTGGACACTCCACAGGTACCTGACCCCAGCATTAACCCCTGCGCTCAGGCTGGGCAAGTTCTAAGAGGAGATTGTGGAGGGAGGCCATGCCTCTTCCATGAGCCCCTTCTATGCCAGGCCATTAGGGAGGCCATGCCATGCTCCCTGTGCAGGGTGCCCACCAGCCAGGGCCCGCGTCAAAGCCCTTACTCTTCACAGACTGAGCTCTGGGAAGTGCGGATGAACGTCCTGGAAGAGCCAGAACCGGGACGCTGTGTTTAGTGTCCGGGCCCTACTTGCCCTTTTCCTCTCCCTGCCCCTGTGAGATCCTGGAAGCAGCCCTGCACATGGCTCACAGGGCCTGGCCTCCCCGCCCCCCCCTCCCCAGCCACTCTAAGCAAAACCAGATTAGGCACTGGGCCCGATTATAGGAGCTCCCCAGCCCTGGCTCCCTGGCCTCCTCCCTCCTCCCAGGCCTGAGCTCATGTCCTCGTGTTAACCCGGCCCAGGCACGGGACAGCGGCCCTTCCTCCGCACACTAGCCCAGCAGCCTGGACCCGAGGCAGGGAGCACACAGGAGACATTGTGGACCAGAAAGATCCCGGCTCACGTGGAGCTCTGTGTGGGAGGGAACGGGTCCTAACTATGGTGTGTGCTCCACACCTGAGCTCCCAGTTCCCAGGAGACTGCAGAGGGCCTAGACCAGTGATGGCGAACCTATGACACGTGTGTCACCTCTGAACCCATTTTTTCGGTTGATTTTTCTTTGTTAAATGGCATTTAAATATATAAAACAAATATCAAAAATATAAATCTTTGTTTTACTATGGTTGCAAATATCAAAAAATTTCTATATGTGACACGGCACCAGAGTTAAGTTAGGGTTTTTCAAAATGCTGACACGCCGAGCTCAAAGGTTCGCCATCACTGCTCTAGACTGACCCCCACCCCCAGGGACAGGCAGTGCCTTCCTAGATGTACAAAGAGCTCCTGGAGGGTCCCCAGAGCCGC